CCTTTAAATAATAATTTCCATGTCAAAAAAGTCACAGTTTGTCGTAAAACTGTTGAAATATAAGACTATGAAAAATACGCAACTAGAAAGACTACAAATCCCAGAATCCCGTTCCCGCATGCTGGCTCTTACGAAACCAACTAACTCCCCTTGTGTGTGTGTACAGCTCTCAACATGCCCAGACTTGGAGTGATTTTCACCTCTTTTAATACTTTCCGCCTCATTCTGAAAGAAAGAAGTGAAATGTGCCAACGTCTTGGTGTGTGGTGCGAGAATGGAGATGTAGTTCATTGAGCGGTTTCACACAAAGAATGTGTTACTTCACAGTTTTATTTTTTTGACTTGTAAAATGATCTTTTAAATGGACAAACATCATATGTGTAATTCGTGGCACAATTCAAACGGGATCGAAAGATAATCTTTCTCTCTCCATTGACTTCAATACATAACTTTTCCGAAATAAGGTCCCGTGGAGGTCAACCGGAAGGGGAGGGACTTCGCCTCTCTGGGCCGGCCGCCACTGCCAGCCGGATAACACTTTTGTTCTCTTCAAATGTTGATATGACATAACAGACAGTTTAATTATGAAAGTTGTTCAAAGAAAGGCACATGGTTGCCCAGTCATCGCAGTCCTCTTTCATTTCCTCACAGCACCTCCTTTATTCACTTTGCTTCTTCAACAATAAATACATCAATCATCTGCCTACGTACTATATACATGGCATTTAAAAATATATACTTATTTACAATTATACATACATATTTCTGCATTTACATACATTTCTGTCAGTGTGAAAAATATCCATGATCTTATTGAAGCAAGTTTTTAAAAATTAACTTTTGGATGTGTGAGGTAAAATATAGATTGCTTTCCGTGAAAATATCTTCTTTATAAGATTCTATATTCTACAATATTTACATAAAACTATAGTCTGGTTAAAATAAAGCGTCATTTCCTTTCCTTGTTTCCTCTGTTATTTCATCCTTGTCTTGTCGTCTCTCATTGTCTCCTTTCCTTTGTTGCCTCTCCTGTTTCCTCCTCTCCCTCTATCCATCTATCCACCTACCTACCTACCTACCTACCTACCTACCTACCTACCTACCTATCTACCTATCTATCTATCTCTCTATCTATCGAACTTACCTTAGCATCTACTAAGCTATCTGGCTAGCTATGGCCAAATCTGTGGTTCTCTTTTTGGATAAAGTAATCACATATTGTCAATCGAAAAACTGTGTTCCTTGTCTGAACACACTTTTATAACTTAATAACAGTTCTTTCAAAAGCTTAAAAACAGTTTCTTTGCCAAGTAAAGGTTGATAGAGCTGGCGACGCTATGCATTTTAAGTCAACATGGAAGCGCCAAAGAGTGGGAGAGGCATACGGTGAATAGCCTCCTATTCTTCTCTCCTCACCTCCTTCCCTCACCTCCTCTCCTCTACCCCGCCTAGGTTAGTGACGGACTGTCCGGTGGTGAGCGACCCCCCCCTCCTCCTCCTCCTTCTCCTCCCCGACAGCTTCCGGAGCAGCGACTCCCTGAAGGTGCGACACATCAGGAAGTAGATGACGGGGTCGAGGCAGACGTTGATGGCGGAGAGGAAGAGCGTGGCCTCCTTCAGCTGGAACAGCCAGAAGCGGGCGTCCTCACTGAAGCCTGACTCCGCCCTCTGGTTCAAAGTATACGGGACGCGAAGCACGTGGTACGGAACGAAGCAAATGAAAAACACCGCCAGGAGGCTGAAGATGCTACGTTTGGACTTCCTGCAGGCGTCGCTTTGCTCGCGGCGAACACGTCGATACGAGCTGTACAGATGGCAGGCGATGGAGGCGTAGCAGAAGGAGAGCAGGAACAACGTCAGCCAGAAGAGGGCATTGTTGAAGTAGGCTAGGAAGTGATGCCACTGCAGGCCGAACGGCGTCTTCAGCTCCATGCAGCGTCGCGCGTTCGTCTCGTTTGCAGGATTGCTGGTGAGGACCACGTTGGGCAGGACAGAAAGCAGCATGAAGACCCAGGTGAGCAGCGCCAGAACCCGAGCGAAGTCCACGCTCTGCAGGAGGTGCAGCTTGGAGACACTGCACCACTTCGACCTGTAGGGAGGGAAAGAAGTATCCTGTAAGAGTTTACAAAGAATGTACCCTACTGAAGAAGCGTTGCAAAAGGTTTAAGCTAAAAAAATATGAAGTGGTGGAAAGAATGTAGATTGGCCTTGGCCTCCATAACATGAATGGTTGTAAATAAAGGAAGTTACCCGAAGGTGGAGGTGTTGGAGGACGTGTGTCGGACGATCTTGACGTAGCGCTCGAGGCTGATGAAGCCCATGAAGACCATGCCCACGTACATGGAGAAGTAGAAGAGCACAGCGGTGTAGCGGCAGGTGACCACGTGCATGTGCCACCCCCCCAACCCCAACTCGGCCGCCACCTTGAAGGGGAAGGTGGAGAGCATGAGGAAGTCGGCCACCACCATGTTCTTCAGGTACACCACCAGCCCCGAGTCGCTCGGCACCCGGAAGAAGATGCAGGCGGCGACTCCGTTCAGGACTCCGCCCACAAGACAGGTGAGCAGGTAGAGCGGAGGCAACACCTGCATGGTGAACACGCTTCTGAAATCTGATTGGTTCCCAGGGAGGTGGGTGGAGTTCTGGAGATCCATGTCTGAAAACACACAGGAAGACACACTTTAGGTTAGACATTGATATATGGGTGGGTATAGGTAATAATAATAATAATAATACATTTTATTTATAAAGGCACCTTTCAAGGCTCTCAAGGTCGCCGTACAAGTTACACCAAAAAAAATAAAAGTACAAAAAAGACAATATAATCAATCAATACAGACGTAATGGAAAAGTATTGAAGCCCTAAAATGTGTTTAGGCCATAGAATATGTCTGGAAATGTCCAGTCCTGCACACCAGAGGCCGTGACCTTTTCCCACATATATGGGTATGAAGGAGGTGTCTTTGGTTTTCTGTCCCTCTGTGGATCCTAAAAGCACTGGATGAGAGGGAGAAAAGCTCCAGAGCGGGGTTTTCCCTCTGGTAAGTTCTCTCACCTTGGTAAGTCAAATTGACTTTGGTTTTGAGTGAATTGTTGAATGAAAGTTTGAATGTGTTAGATACCACTGACCATTTATGAGGAGATCCCTCTAAATTCTGTCGGAATACTTTTTTACTACAACTGAAGTGGGCCAGTTGAAGTTAGAATTGAAATGTTACAACTGAAGTGGGCCAGTTGAAGTTAGAATTGAAATGTTACAACTGAAGTGGGCCAGTTGAAGTTAGAATTGAAATGTTACAACTGAAGTGGGCCAGTTGAAGTTAGAATTTAAATGTCACAACTGAAGTGGGCCAGTTGAGGTTAGAATTTAAATGTCACAACTGAAGTGGGCTAGTTGAGGTTAGAATTTAAATGTTACAACTGAAGTGGGCCAGTTGAAGTTAGAATTAAAATGTTACAACTGAAGTGGGCCAGTTGAAGTTAGAATTGAAATGTTACAACTGAAGTGGGCCAGTTGACGTTAGAATTGAAATGTTACAACTGAAGTGGGCCAGTTGAAGTTAGAATTTAAATGTTACAACTGAAGTGGGCCAGTTGAAGTTAGAATTTAAATGTTACAACTGAAGTGGGCCAGTTGAAGTTAGAATTGAAATGTTACAACTGAAGTGGGCCAGTTGAAGTTAGAATTTAAATGTTACAACTGAAGTGGGCCAGTTGAAGTTAGAATTTAAATATTACAACTGAAGAGGGACAGTTGAAGAGAGAGGGACAAAATAAAATAAGAAATGTAAAACTGATTTGAGGTTTCATATTAGTAATTGACCACAGCATGATGTATTTTGTATGGTTGTCATATTGTAACGAGAAAAAGTAAAAACCCTGTAAAAGTGTGGACCATTTTCTTCAAATAAAATCAACCCACCTTTTTGGATTGGGGTCACTTAAAGAAATCTGTGCTCTCCTCTCCTGCTTTAAGGTAAGATTGCGCACTGCCACACTTTCACTTAGGCAGGGCCACACCTCATTACTGATACCAGAATCCTTCGGGATCGCTTAAACAGATTTAGCGTTTCGTCTGAATTGAAACAGCAGTTAATTGAACCCGGTTCTCCAGGAGTTAATAGAGGTGAGACCTTGCTGATCTGATCTGAGCCAAGCAGTAAACTTGCATGGACTCAATAGCTTCTGTTTGGTAAATTAGTAGGTCTGAGTAATTGTCGGAATAAATTACCAGGCCTCCCGACTCCAAAACTACTATTATAACATTGAATCTGCCGTGTTTATTTGATTAAAATTATTTAAAGGGGACCTATCATGCAAAATGCACTTTTTGATGTCTTTTCTACATAAAGATGTGTCCCTCCCCGGTGTGTCGGGGAACTCGCGCAGCGTCAGAAAATAAAACCCTCTCTCTTTTCCTCCGTACCCAAATCTCTAAAAACGGGGAACAACGGAGCTGATCCAGATTTGCGTCCGATATGACGTAATATCTGAAATGTGGACCCACGGGCCTATCAGAAACGTTGCTATCAGAAACAATGCCCGACTGTTTTGGACGTAATATGGTCGGTGTTTACATTAGCATCGCTAACACTCAGAGCTAACCTGTACTGGAGAGCATGTGTGTGAAGAAGCAGGAAATAAAAAGGAACTCACCTTGTGGTATAACCGGCAAGAGAGAAAGCCTTTGAGCTCCATACTGTTTCAGAGAGAATCCTTGATAATCCATGATATGGCGTTTCATAACCGCAGTATTTAGTTTAGACAGTAGCTGCCGGGTCCCGCATGAGCTCAGACCCCTCCTTTTTTATAGTGTATCAATCTTTTCTTTTTTTTAAAGCTTTATACCCGAAATCAGCACTTTAGAAACAGGAAGTGAAATAGAGGGATATGAGGCATGGCTAGAATGGGTGATCTGTTTGGTATTTTGAGCAAAACACTTCATAGACATGTTTTTTATATATTTGTATATGAGACCTATGCTATTGCCTAAAAATGCATGATAGGTGACCTTTAAGTTATATTTTTCTCTGCTGAGATTACACAGATCCTCAAAGCTCCAGCGGAGAGATTCAAAGCTGGGCCCCAGATTCCACTAACCCTAACAATAGACCAACTTTCTTAACAAAGAATATAT